TCATTTTTGAAAAGAGATGTTTTCTATGACAGGAAAAATAGAGGTCAGAACCCTTTCAAAAAAGGAATATTTGACTGAATGAAGATGTACCAAACCTTATCTAAAGGCTTGTGGCATGAATTATTCCTTTAATAATGGGATAGATTTGAGTTTGATTAACTATACTTTCTATTAGTATTCCTTACTGCTTCTTGATTTGCTTCAGGGTGGTTTTGAATAGAGTTTTTAATATAACCTAGCTAGCTCCCTAATATGGTAGCAAAACAGTAACCTAACATCTTTTTTACCATGTACTTTGTAATGAAAACTAAAGGAATAATAATAGAAAAAAAAGGGTTCATGCTATCTCTCAACATTTTTGTTAGGTTCTTCAAAAAAACAGAATAAGAGAATTAATATTACATGCACATATTACATATATACTATATATGTCCTATAAATGTCTATGTCTCTATAGCTGTCATATTTATACATATATAGTGACTCACATGTGTCTTGAAGGGTTAGGAAAATAGAGAAATTTTATAATTTTCCATTATAGTAACATAATTCAGTCTGAGTTCAAAAACCTGAGAATAAGTGGTTGATGATATAAAATCCCAGTCTAGAGGCAGGCAAAGATGAAAAGTAGTAAAAGTCATGAATTCCTCCTTCTTCTGTGGATCAAGCCTTCAGTGGATCAGATGATGCCTACCTTCTCTGTGAAGAGCAATCTACTTTTCCAAGTTCACTGATCCAAATCCTAATCTCATCTGAAAATATCATTACAGACACATCCAGAAATAATACCTAATCAGTTATCTGGGCACTACCTAATCCAGTCAAGTTGTCATATAAAATTATCACAATATGTTAAAAAATTAAGCTTCATACAAATATACTTAAATATTATGTCCTTAAGAATCATGGTTTCACAATTCTCAAACTTCAGTGCCTTGAACCTAAGAGAATGTGTTTCTCATCACATAGTGATCAGGACTGAGTGGCTCTCATGATCAGCTGTTTTCCAAGGAGTGTGTTAGTCATCTGACATGCATCCATCTCCGGACTTGAATGCTCCCAAGTGGTATAAGTGTTTGGATCATCTGCCTTCAGCTTGCCAAAAAAATGAAGAATGAAAAATGTAGGAGGTTTTTGGGGGCTTGGCTGGAAATAAGATAACGTATTGAATTATTGCATCGAACTAATGGGCAATGTAATTGTAATGGTGCTAGAAAAAGGAGAATGAGTTCTAGCAATTTACAGTATAAAACAAGCCAATTCCCTTTGGGAAAAGAGAAAATGGAAAATAGAACAAACTTTCAATATTGATGGTTAGAAAATACATACTTCCTGGTAAAACTGGGCCTGTTACTAAAATACTGAGTCACATTACTGCACCTAGAAAATATTTGTGTCTTGAACTTATTAATGGTTAGATAAGGGAGCATTTATAAATGCATTCCCCAAAACATGCATACTTCATAAAGTTACTTAAGCTATTACAGTTGTAATTAATTAGCTATAACAGTTACGGTTACTTAAACTAATTTGCTATTGTAAATCAAATAAAACAAGAGAAAATCCTAAAAAAAAAAAAAGAATCATGGTTTCAGGTATTTTCACAATAAAAATAAATAAATAAAAATAAATGCAATGAAAAAAAAAAGAATCATGGCTACTCCACTAAGCTGCACAGAATATTAGAGATACAGTTAAACAATGTGGATTACAAAACTAGTGTTTGAATTAAAAAGCATTTATTAACCTTTCCATATTCATTTTTTTCATCTTTAAAATGTCACAGTAGAAAGTACAGAGGCTACTTACTTGATATTAGTCAAAACTCTTAGTTTCAAACCATAAACTTACTCAAGCTGGTTTATACAACTAAAATGGATTTTCTTCAAGAAAAAAAGGAGTAAGGGAATTAGAGAATAACAAAGTTGTAGAATTGGCACCATCCAACTTAAAAACATACTCTAAATGTACAATTACTGGAGAAAGAATAGACAGACAAGAAAGCACACAGGAGAAAAGTCAAGAGATCTTTGACAAAGGCAAAAGGCAATACTTATGGGAAAGCAGTCTTTTCAACAAGTAGAATTGGAGTAATGGGATGCAAAAAAAAAAGGCTACACACAAGTTTCACACCCTTTACTAAATTAATATTTTTTTGCGTTTAAGACAGGTTTATTAGTTTTTCCTAAACTTGTCTCATGTTTATGAACCTACATGTAAAGTATAAAACTCTAGAAACTCCAAGATGGTAACATAGAAGAAAATATAGATGATCTTGATTGTGGTGATAAATTTTTAGATAAGACATGATAAAGGAAAAATAACATGTTAGACCTCATTAAAATTTTTTAATTTTCTATAAAAGATACAATCAGGAGATTATAAAGACAGAAGATTTATAGAAAATATGTGTAAACAACATATACAAACAACACTTAGAAGTCAACAGTAAAAACACCAACAAGCCAGGCCCTGGTGGCTTATGCCTGTAATCCTAGCTACTTAGGAGGTTGAGATCTAAGGATGGTAGTTCAAAGCTAGTCCTGGCAGAAAGTCTGTGAGACTCTTAGCACTAATAAAAACTACTCCGAAAAGGCCAGAAGTGGCACTGGTGGCTCAAGTGATACAGCATTAGCATGAGCCAAAGAATCTAAGTGACTATACCCAGGCCCTGAGTTCAAGCCCCAGGACTGGCACAATAGAAAGGAAAAAAAGAAAACCAACAAATCAGCTGGGCACCAGCAGCTCTTGTCTGCAATACTAGGTTCTTAGGAGGCTGAAAACGAGAAGATTGACACTGTCCTTCTCACCAAGAGGTAGCAACAATGGTGCACATCTGTCTTCCCAAGCTACATGGGAGGCTCAAAGTGGGAGGATTGTGGTGCCAGGCCAACTCAGGCAGAAAACTGAGTCTCCATGGTGAGCAGCAGGACATGGTGGCATGTGCCTATAATCTCATGGAAAGACAGGAAGCCAAAAAGTAGGTGTACCCAGTCATATGCCTGGGTGGAAAGCTAGCACTCAACCAAAAGCTGAAAACCACAATGGTTTGAGTTCAAATTCCCAGTACTTCCAGAGAAGAAAAGGGGAAGGAAGGTTAGGAGGAAAGGGGGGTAGATGGGAAGAAGGGAGAAAAGGAGGAAGAAGAAGAGAAGGTGAGGGGGGGAGGAGGAATCCAATTTAAACATAGTCAAAATACCTTAACAGCCACCAAAGAAGATACGTAACTAACAAATAAGTTTATCAGAGAAATGCACATTAAAACAATGAGATATTATTGCACATCTACTAGATTTGCTGTAATTTAACAATACCAAGTATTCGTGACAATGTGAAGCAACAGGAATTCTGATTCATTGTTGGTGGGAATACAAAAATGTATAACTACTTTGGAAAACAGTTTGGAGCTTTCTCACAAAACCAAATCTGTTTTCATGTGATCTAGCAATCACTCACCAATTTACCTGCCCAAGAGATGAAAACTTATATTCACATGTGGCTATTTGAAGCAATTTTATTCAAAATTTGGAAAAATTCAAAACTTGGAAGCAACTAAATGTCTTTTGGTAGGTGAACAGATAAGCTATGGAGTACCCAGATAATGAACTATTATTCAGCATTAAAAAGAAATGAGCTATCAAGCCAAGGGAAGACATATAAGGAAAAAAAAACCACATATTGCCGAGATTGTGTACAATGTATAATTTCAACTGTAAGGAAACACCCACCTCGCAGGCCTAATCTCCGCCCTGGAGGGCAGCACCTGCTCAGTAGGTGAGGCACCTCCCACTTTCGCCCCCCCCCACCATATAAAAGAGGCCTCCAAGGAGCCAGATGGTGCCATTTTCTCTCTTTCCTCTCGAGAGCTTGGCCTTGTCAGCTCTGCTGGCAATAAATCTTTTCTTCTACTTGACTTCCGTCCACGTGGTCTTTTGGGTTACTTTCTTTGGTGTTACTTTCTGCCTAAGTTACATTTTTTCCTTCACCAACTATTTGATATGCTAGAAAAGGAAAGACTAAAAAGAACAAAACTCATTGTTTTCCAAGAGTACTGGAAAGAAAAAGAAAAATAGGCAAAACAAAAATGTATTTTAGGGAGTGCTTGGATGGTAAACTCGTCTTTATACACTTGTCTACATGCATAGAATGTACAGTACCAAGAGTGAACTTTAAGGGAAACCATGTGATTTGAACGTTATGATGTATTTCTGTATAGGTTCATTAGTTGTAACAAACATAACCTGGGGTTTTAGTAATGGGACACCGTACATGTAAAAAAGGATTGTCCAATGGGAAGTTTTTTACCTTCTACTCATCTTTGCTCTTAAAAACAAAACAAAAAAAAACAGAGCTTCACGGTTTCCTTCGGCTTTTCCATCATGACTGGTGCTCTACCTCTTGAGTCACGCTCGGGGTTTTTTTGCCGGTTAACTGGAGAAAAGAGTGTCAGGGACTTTTCTGCCCAGGCCTGACCTGGAGCCTTGATCCTCAGATCTCAGCGTAGCTAGGATGGCAGGCGTGAGAGCAACTGGCACGTGGCCTACTGGGTTCCGTAACGGACATCACCAGCAGTGAATGCCACAACCCCAATTACTTTAATAGTTGCCTGCTTCCGTCTGCACTGGGGTCTGCCCGGGAAACGGTCCCCGAGCGAGAGTCCGTGCAATGCGGTCAAGCGAGAGACGCAGGCGCGATTCCGACGGAAGGGCACTGGGGCCGCAGCCGGCGCCGCTCCTTCTGCGTTCTCACCCCGGCGCGGCCACTTAGGAGCACGCCAATCAACCGGAGAGCGAGTTATGATTTTCCCTAGACCGGACCCGGGCTGTTTTGAGATAGTAAAGACATTCTATAATCTCCGAAGAACAAGCTTACCCTCCCGCCCCTACCCCGAAGTCCCAGTCGGCCCGGGCCTGAGGTCCTTTCGGCTTCCGTAATCTCGCTGGATCTCGCGAGGCCAACGCTGAGCTCCGCGGCGCCCACTCCGGAGTACTTCCGGGGAACGTCGGCGGAGAGGGACGGAGTGTGCGCTCCCTCAGCCCTGCCCGCGGCCGGCCGGACCCGCTCGAGTAGGGGCACGGGACGGGGCCCCGCCGCCTGCCGGCCGTTATGGACCGTGACCTTCTGCGCCAGTCGCTGAACTGTCACGGGCCGTCCTTGCTCTCCTTGCTTCGGAGCGAGCAGCAAGACAACCCGCATTTCCGGAGCTTCTTGGGGTCGGCGGCGGAGCCAGCCCGGGGCCCGCCGCCCTCTCCGCACGTCCCGGGCAGGTGAGGGCCCAGCCGCTGCGGGCAGGGTCCCGGCCCCAAGCGGGCCCAAGCTGCTGCGGGTTGTGGGTGTGCCATGCCAGGTTTCGGACACTGCCATACCGAGGTGATATCCCGAGTAAAAAATCCTGTGGGCCTTCTAAAGCTGGAGACTCCACTGTGTAAGATTCCCCGCCCTCCATTTCCAGGTTGGCAAGAGAGAATGCTGGTTAAAAACTTATCTGGGCGAACCCAGATGCACTTCATTAGATAAATGGATCAAGAAAATGTGATATATATATATATATATATATATATATGTGTGTGTGAATTCTGTGCCTCCATCAGAAAGAATGACACTGCCCCATTTGTTAGCAAATGAAAAGACTTGGAAAAAATTATATTAAGTGAAGTAAGCCAGGCCCAAAGAAACATAAGTCCCATGGTTTCCCTTATTTGCAATAACTAGTACATGTCTAGGACAAGCAGCAGAGTTCAAAAGCTATGTATATATGACCATATAAGATGATGCTAAGCAAAATGACACAGACACACGTGTTTTTTTTCTTGCTTGCTGTTGTTTTTAATGCATTTATAATGTACCATGTGATTATTTTTGTTTCTTTTGTATGTTCTTCCCCCAGGATATAACTCGTTTACACTGTATTTGATGTTGGTGCCCTGCATCTTGTATATACATTTTTCTAATTTGGGAAGGGGAAGGGAAATAACAAAATGATGAAATAAGGATACAGATTGACCCATTGTAATAATGAGATGTACAAGGCACTGTTGAAAGCGAACTTTACAACTTGGGAGGGGGGAGGGAGGAGTTGGGGAAGTGAGGAGGGAAGGAATGGTGGTGGGGAAAAACAAAGGAGGAGGTAATAATGCTCTATAGGAAATGTACTCATTACTCAAGGTAACTGTAACGCCTCTGTATAATATTTTTACAATAAAAATATATGCAAAAAAAACTTAACCTGGGCAATAGTATTGAAAGGGGTGACATTGGACAAGATGCGTTATACTCATAAACTGACGTGCTGAATTGAAATCCCTTTGTACAAAGTACCTAATAAAATTTTCAATTAAAAAAAATACTGTTTCTCCAGCCTGGAGCTTGCAAGAGGTTGGGCAATGAAAGTCACAAACAGAAAATTGCACCAACAAGGGCACTGCAGGTTTTCTTAAAAAATCAACTTTCACAAATTCTTTTTAAGAAAAGAGAAGAGAGTTGAAAACATTGAAATACAGAAGTTCATCTCCAAAAAAGCAGATTTGCTTTTTGCACTTTCTTGGAAATCAGATACACCAACGATTTCTGAAGCTAATGAAGACAGCGATGGTGAGTTTTGTCTTGGATGTTTTTACAATTGGCCATTTGGTTTAATGGGATGATTCAAAACAACCATGTTTTTAATTATTTTCTCAGCTCACTATGCAGTCATGCCACCTTTAGAGCAGTTTATGGAGATACCTAGTGTGGACCGGAGAGAGCTGTTTTTCCGAGATATTGAACGAGGTGATATAGTGATTGGAAGAATTAGTTCCATTCGGGAATTTGGATTTTTCATGGTGTTAATCTGTTTAGGAAGTGGAATCATGAGAGACATATCCCACTTAGAAATCACAGTAAGTTATTCACTTTTTAGTCATGGGGATTACTGTTTTGATAGTCATCTCATGCAAAAACATTGTTTGTGTTCAATTGTGTTTAAGTATCCCTGCTGAGATGCTTGGGGAATTAAATGAGTATTAGAGAAAAATGTTTCCTCTTACCAAAATATTACAGTTTCTTTATCCATTGCTATTTCCTTTTGGGGGGGGGGGTGCACTCTGGTTACCGGAGCAGTTTCCTTTCTTATGGTGGCTCTCGCCTGCAATCCTATCAACTAAGGAGGCTGAGATCTGACGATTGCTGTTCAAAGCCGGCCCAGGCAAGGAAAGTACGAGAGACTCTTATTTCCAATTACCCACCAGAAAACCAGAAGTGGTAAAGCATTTGCCTTGAACTGAAGAGCTGAGGGACAGCGCCGGGCCCAGAGTTCAAGCCCCACAACTGACAAAAAAAACAGACATGCTCAAAGATGTATTTGTGGGCATGGCAAAATTGATCAGATATTCTGGAGCCTTACACCCTCTAGTTGAACATATTCTTAACTAATATTTGGCATTAGATACTTGAATGAGATAATTTAGAAGAAAAAATTCTCATCATCTATATAACTACAGTTGACATTTGAGATTTGCCCATTATAATTTATTTTGCCTAAGATAGTCCTGAATTTGAAATAGTGTATCACTTTAAAATACTTGGTATTTGCTGCTGTCCAAGCAGATAAGAAGAAAGTAAAGCAGAACTTTGTAGAACTCTCATTTCATTATTTCATGGGAATCCCTATACTTTGTATACAAATTTGAGTCTTAATTTTAACAAATGCAAAACATTTTTTAATCTATATTTGGTTCCTAAGCTAATGGAGATTTTAGTTTGTTTTTGTCAGTTGTGGGGCTTGAATTCAGCACCTGGCATTGTCTCTGAACTTTTTTGCTCAAGACTAGTGGTCTACCAATTTGAGCCTCAGCTCCACTTCAGTTTTTTGACAGTTAATTGGAGATCAGCTTCATGGATTTTTCTGCTCTGGCTGGCTTTTAACCACAGTCTTAAGTTTTCAGCCTCCTGAGTAGCTAGGATTACAGGTGTGAGCCACCAGCTCCCAGCTGAGATTTTAGTTTTTGGACTGAACCAAAAAACAAGTTGTTGGAACACAGAAATTGTTTTTTAAAGTTTTTAAATTGAGATTTTTAGGTTGAGTTACTTGTGTATTGGCAAGTGAGTAAATAAAGAAAACATGACTGTATATATACATATAACAGTGAACTTTTATGCCATGAAAAAGGAGTAAATCCTGTCATTTGTGACAAAATAGGTAAAACTGCAGAACATTATATTAAATGAACTAAACCACATACAGAAAGATGTAAACTACATGCTCTTATTCATTTGTGAAATCTAGAATGCTTATTTCAAAGAACAGTAAAAGAGTAGGTAGCAAAGGCTGGTAAGGTTTGTTACAGATAAAAGAGTTGGAGAACAGGTAACATACAGTTAGATAATAGAGTAAGTTCTAGTGCTGTACTGCACAGCAAAAAAACTATAGATTACAACTTCTTACATATTTTGAAAAACTGTAGAAGAAGAATTCAGAGATTGAATCACAATGAAATGAGATAGAATGCTAGTTATCCTGATTTGATAATTATTTGTTGTGTACATATATTGAATTTTCAAATGTACCCTATATAAAGATAGCTACTATATGTCTGTTAAAAAGAAAAAATTAAGCTTTAGGATAATGGTTATTACTTAATGTTCATGTTCATTATTAACTGTTCATACTGAAAAATTAGGATAAAAGAAGATACTCTTCTTGCCCGAGAGTGAAGTATGTGGTATATTCAGCTACTTGTCATTACAGGCTCTTTGTCCATTGAGAGATGTGCCTTCTCACAGTAACCATGGGGATCCTTTATCATATTACCAAACCGGTGACATCATTCGAGGTGATAATTTTTACCATATTAATTAAAAACTCAAAAGCTGTTGAATTTTTTATTTTAAAAGTTTAGTATAATACGGGTAGTATTTGGAAAAATTCCATGGATTTTTATGTTATTTTACATTTTCTTAACAGCTTAATTCTCCTTTCTGTTTGTTTTTTTTAAGCTGGAATTAAGGATATTGATAGATACCATGAAAAGCTTGCAGTGTCCCTCTATAGTTCATCTCTTCCACCACACCTGTCAAGTATTAAACTTGGTGTAATTACTTCTGAAGAGCTTCCTTTATACTACAGGTATTTATCCTTCATATATTTCTGGGATTAAAATAGAAAATTATGGTAAGATTCTGATAATGAAGTTGAATTTTAATTTCTTTTATTGTATAATGTGTTTTTATTTTTTGTGTGTATGTCGGTCCTGGGGCTTGAACTCAAGGCCTGGGGCACTGTCCCTGAGTTTTTTTGCTCAAGGTTAGTACCCTATCACATTGAGCTACAGCTCCACTACCAGCTTTTTGTTGGTTAATTAGAGATAGCAGTCCACAGGAAGGAGAAACGGGGGAAAGTGAAGAAAAGGGTGCAATTGTCCAAAAATACATATTATTACCTGGCTTATGAAACAGTAATCCATTGTAAAACATCTTAATAATAACATTGTTTTTTAATTGGTAGGAGAAAAAAGTTTCATAGGCTGTCTTGCTTGCGCTGGCTTTGAGTCATACATGATCTTCAGATCTCAGCTGCTTCAGTAAGTTTCTGTGCTTAGAGCCATGGTTTAGCCGTATTGTAGCCAGCCTAGCAAACTCAAAGCCTTAAGTTCAAACCCTAGTATCACCAAAAAAGAAATTTCTACAAACATACCAAAAAGGAAACTTGTACAGACATAGTAGAACGAACTATATTATGATATAGTGTGGCACCATTATGTGTACAAAAATGGTTTCAAAACCTAATACAATAATGTTCTTTCTCTAGTAGAAATGTGCTAATTGTCTTAGTCATTCTTATATTTTATGTTTGTGTGTATGTGTCTGTGTGTTTCCTAAGGAGGAGTGTTGAACTAAACACCAATTCTTTGGAGTCCTATGAAAATATCATGCAGAGTTCCCTCGGATTTGTTAATCCAGGAGTAGTTGAATTCCTCTTAGAGAAACTAGGAATTGATGAATCTAATCCACCATCTTTAATGAGAGGCCTACAGAGGTATGATACATCAGTATTGTTCTCTTATTTAGAAAGTTATACTTGATCATAGCAACAAGACTATGTCAAAGATTGAATGAATTCGGTGGTCCCATCTGCACTGGACACTTGACAATGATAGATGTGACCTCGTAGAGAAAGGTGTAATAAGTTTGTATAACAATTGTATGTTGCAGGCACCAGTGGCTCAAACCTGTAATTCTAGCTATGCAGGAGCCTGAGATCTGAGGATCACAGTTTGACTTAGCCTGGGTAGACAAACCCAACAGACTCAGGGACATCACTGATACCCTGAGTTCAAGCCCAGGACTGGCAGACACATGCAAAAATTGTATGGGTACACCTAAGAATAATATCATTTACTAATAATACTTCTGAGATTTGGAGAATTTCACTGTGTAAATGAAACACAGATTTCTTTTGGGATTCTTTCAGTGTATAGTATCCATCTGTCAGAATGAAGAATAGTTATTTTAATATTACATACACAATGAATTTTTATTTTCTTTAATAGCCGAAGTTTCTCTGAAGAAGATTATGCTGCTTCATTAAGAAAGAAACAGTCTGCATCTTGGGCTTTAAAATGGTATGAAGATTGTTTTGTTTCAACAATTGCATCATCTAGTCTGAAAGTTAGGGTAAACCAAGCACTCATATTATCATTAGAATTTGAACAAGTGAATTAAAACAAAGCTTTTGACAAAACAAAGCTTTTGATAGGCATTACATCGTCTTAGGTTGTCTACCATTTTCAATTGTTTTTCGAAAAGAATTAGCATATTGATGTCTGAGTTTTATAAACATAGTTAAGAAAACCTTGAAAGGAGAAGTGCTTCTTAGAATATTTTTAAGACATTTTTAAAGTAATTATTTGCCAGGTTTGAAGACATTTGCTTATGAAAAAAATTTATCCACACACTTAGATGGACATGTTAAACTGTAACCACTTGCACAAACTTTTGAAGTTCAGAAAAAATTTATTCACCTTAATATTTTATTTAGCTATTTTGTGAAATATTTTTAGTGTGAAGACTGGAGTTGATTACTTTAAGGTTGGACGCCATGTAGATGCAATGAATGAATACAATAAAGCTCTGGAAATAGACAAACAAAATGTGGAAGCTTTGGTAGCTCGTGGAGCATTGTAAGTAAACTGGATTTTAATGTGTATAATGTAATTATACCTGAATAAGACTTAAAAAGTAAGCTCACAAGATTACGTTCCTCTAATTTTATTTTAATGTCTCTAGATATGCCACAAAAGGAAGTCTGAACAAAGCAATAGAAGATTTTGAGCTTGCATTAGAAAACTGTCCGACTCACAGGAATGCAAGAAAATACCTCTGCCAGACACTTGTAGAAAGAGGAGGGCAGTAAGTATTGACCTTAATAATAGAAATCTAATGTAAAACAACTTCTATAAAATCTTGAACTGTATATAAGGAAAAATAAATATTGTGTGAGTATCTTTAGCTCTCACAATTCACTCTTTGCTTCAATTATGGACAACACTTTTTTTAAGAGGCAACATAAGGGCATATTAATGAAGAGTTTGAGGTGCTGTATGACCTTTTTTATTTTTTTGGGTCCGTTCCTGGGGCCTGAACTCTGGGCTTGGGCACTGTCCCTCAGCTCTTCAGCTCAAGGCTAGCGCTCTGCAACAGCGCCCCAGCGCCACTTCCGGCTTTTTTCTTTTTGCTTATGTGGTGCTGAGGAATCAAACCCAGGGCCTCAGGTGTGCAAGGCAAACGCTCTACCACTGAGCCACCTTCCCAGCCCCCATTTTAAAACAGCCATAGATGAGTCATTTTTACTATAAAGGCTGATTAAGGAGTATGGCCTGAGTTTGATATAACTTTGAGGGTCAGCAATACTGTAAATGTCTTTCTTTTTTTTTTTTTTTGGGGTCCGGTCGTGGGGCCTGAACTCTGAGCCTGGGCACTGTCCCTCAGCTCTTCAGCTCAAGGCTAGCGCTCTACCACTTGAGCCACAGCTCCACTTCCGGCTTTTTTTCTGTTTGCTTATGTGGTGCTGAAGAATCGAACCCAGGGCCTCGAGCATGCAAGGCAAGCGCTCTACCACTGAGCCACCTTCCCAGCCCCTGTAAATGTCTTTCTAAAGAAAATAAATATTTGTTAAAAAGTTTTCAAGGAGTTTCTCCAGTAGCACAATCAGATTATTGGCCTCCATTAACTATTCCCACATCGATGGTTGTCCTGAGCATCTCTTTTGTGTTAACATCACTGAACTTTATGAACCTGATTCAGGTTCTGCTTTAGTTCCTTCTTTTTCTGAAGCTTGTAAGGAATGGTAAAGAGACCTGGAGAGAAATTTCCAGGCCATCTGCAGTAAACCTAGCAAGTTGTTCTTAAAATCTCATTCTGTTCAAGCTCTCTCAGTTGTGAGTGCATCCATTTTTTTGTCCTTAGGATATGAGATTATTGGCTCAAATTCTACTTTTGGGACCAGTCCTATAGCCTATAAGTTAGAAGGCTAATAATATTAGAAAAAAACCTTTGCATGTTGGAAATTGGAATTAATGTTTTGTAGTTCTTGGAACTAAGACATTCCAATGGGAGGATCAAAGGCAAAGAGTATTCCTGGTTTATGGATGAGGTGGGAGTATTTTATGAACACCTGTCCAATATCAATTTATAGGTATTCACCATTCTTGGTATCTTTGTCACTTCTGCCAAATTTGATTCTTTGGGGACATTCACTTTTGAAACTTACTATAGTTGGTCTGTTTTGTTTTGGGTGCTATCCCTGTTCTTTTTTGCTTAAGGCTACTACTTTACCACTTGAGCCACAGTTCTACTTTTTTCTTTAGTGATTAACTGGAGATAAAAGTCTCACAGAGTTTTTTTGCTTAGGCTGACTTTGAACCATGATCCTCAATTCTCAGCCTTCTGAGTAGCCAGGATTATAGGTATGAGCCACCAGCTTCCAGCTTATGATCTTTAATTACCCAGGTCCTAGGTATTTTTTTTTCTTGTCTTGTAACTTCTTGTAACTTCTTTCTTGCTCCAAAGAGGATTCCTGTTTCCTAATGATCTCTAACTTTTCCTTCTCAAAGAAATTAAAGGATTCAGGGTTGAAAGTTGTTCAAATCTTCCTCTAATGTTGGTGTATCTTTTTGATCACTTCACTGTCCATATCCCACAAAGAAACGTTCTGATTTTTTAGGATAATAATGTAAGAAAACCTTATAAGATGGCAGCATTGGAATCAGGCTGCAAATCAGGGTTTTCCTGAAGAAGTATATGTACATTAGGTTCATTTCAGAAACTACATTCTCACTAGTCTTGATGTAGGTGACACTATTGCAGAAAAATGTCCAGAATTGTGTCTTTGGTCATGTTTCTAAGGTTGTAGTTAATCCTGGGCATGCTTATCTGCTTTGAATCTATATCCACTTTAGTGTGGCAAAGGAGTTTATTCTTCATTGACTGGAAGAAATTATATTTTTCCAATCTGCTTATTTTTGGGTGGGGAAAGGGGTGTCTTTTTTAATAGGGCCGTACTGCAGTTTGAATTCGGAGCTTTGCCCTTGCTTTTCCGGTGCTCTGGCCACTCTTTTTGTTTTGTTTACAGGCAAGGTCTTCTTTTTTGTTTCTATCACCTGCCTATTTCTTCTGAGTAACTGATAACCTTTGATAACCTTGGGCTTTCTTAAAATGAGTCTGTAGCAAGTTCAAGAAAACACTTAGAAAATCATTACCACACAAACATGTTTCAAAAGCAGAGATAACAAGCTTCAGTACTGCTTGACTAATCATAAAATCTAAATTAAATGAGATTTTTGAACTACATGTCTTTAATTCATGTGAACTTTCTAAATAATGGCTGGAGCAGCTTTGTATCTTCTCTAAGTTCTGAAAGCCAACCAAGATGATCCTGTTATTACCTATGTATTCTCTGTTAGTTGAGTAGTTACTGGTTATCCAAGCTACTAGTATTGTTAATCTTTGACTTGTCACTTACTCATGTCCAGTTTACTTACCCAAAAATGATAGCCATTGTTTGTTTTGCACTAATTGTATGTTCCTTCTATGAATTAAAACATTTTGCAAAGTCATTTTCTTGTGATTATCCTTTCTGAAAAAGGGTGTGTGTGTGTGTGTGTGTGTGTGTGTGTCTGTCTGTCTGTCTGTCTGTCTGTCTGTCTGTCTGTCTGTCTTCCAAAAGACCTTTACCTGTGGATTTTCTGGGGAAAAGTATTCTGTGTCAAGGAAAAAAATATTATTATAAACTACAAGGGAAGACTATGTAATTGTATGCAAAAGATCAAAATCATAATGACGTTTTCAGACATCAGTTTTCATGTTTTCCTGCATTTCTTCAAAAACAGGCAAATGGTATTTAGTTAGCTTGTAATGGCTTTTCATTTGTTAAATGGCCTCTTTTCCAAGTAAAATACAGTAAAAAGCACATGATTTATTCGTTTTGGCAAAAAAAAATTGCTCAAGATAGCTTTTCTCTAGTAAGTTTTGTCATATTAACTTCTGACTTATATGTGTACTTAGATACTTTTGTTTTTATAAAAAATGCTAAGTCTTCTTTCAAATTTAGGCTAGAAGAAGAAGAAAAGTTTTTAAATGCTGAAAGTTACTATAAGAAAGCCTTGGCTTTGGACGAGACTTTTAAAGATGCAGAGGATGCTTTACAGAAACTCCATAAATATATGCAGGTGATTCTTTATTTCCTCTTATTTAGTGATATTTAAAATTAATGCAAGATATAATTTTCCTCTAGGAAAAAAATATAAGATTATCTTAAGTGAAGCATTAGCATTTTCTTAATGAGTTTGTTATTGTTTCATAGTGCTCTTTTTTTTTTTTTTTTTTACTTATACTAAAAGACAATTCTTACTGCCTAATTTTGGCATGTGTTTTTGAGAACTGTCCTTTGTAGTGAGATTATGTGGTGGTTATAAAATTATCATTGTTGAGACTAATTGAGCTGATTATAGAAACCTTTTTGAGACACCGTGTTATCTGCCTTTTCCTGTAATACTGATGATGATGTTTTCTCATGCATTTTCTTCTGAATTGGACCATTGCTGCTGTGTCTGTGACATCTGATGCTGCTCATCCCCATCCACAAACTGGAAAATGATTTCTTATGTAATCATGCATCCAACTGGGCTGTGCTATTTTTTAAATGGTTTGTATTCGAATGTGGTGATTTCCCCCTTGATTCACCTCTATGGAATGTCTTTATTTGAATTTTACTTGCAAAATTTGTGTCCCTTTTTGCACTCTGGGTCATTGGTACCACTGCAATGGCTTCCCCTCTTTTCATGGGTTACCAACTGCAATATGGTCCTCAATATTGTTCTGGCCATTCCAATGATTAATGCCAAACATCTGTATGACTAACCTTTTTATATTCTTAAAAAAAAAAAAAACCACCCTTGCTCAATACTGGCTCTATGGTGATTTCATTATGCTAAATTGGATTTCTGGTTGGGGGATGGTCTTTTAAATACTGTGGTTTGTATATTCTGCTATTTTTTAACGTGTGGTTTTTTCCGATATCTGGGTTCTAAAAGAAATCTTTGGAATTAAGAGAAAAACAAGCTGAGAAGGAAGAAAAGCAGAAAACAAAGAAAATAGAAACAAGTGCAGAAAAGTTGCGTAAGCTCTTAAAAGAGGAAAAAAGGTAAACTATAATATGCATTACTTTTTTTAACTTAAAGCAACTACTGAGTTGAACCCAAAGTGCCATATGGAGGTAAAGTATATTCAAAAGTATCTCAAGTGATAATTAAGAATTCTTAATAAGCCAAGATTCATGGCCTATGTCTATAATCCTAGCAACATAAGAAGCTGAGAGTTGGATGATGGTATAAGTGGTAAAGTGTCAGCTATGATCAAGAAAGCTGGGCAAGTGTGAGGCCCTGAGTTCAAGTCCCTGTTCTGGCACCAGAAAAGAATTCTTATTCAATCTCTATGCCTCATGGTTTTCTATAAAGGAAATTAAGCTTAGTAGAATCTAAGGTTATAATTCTAATATTTACATGTAATATAATTTATATGTAATATAACATAATTTGTATGTAAATTATATATATAATTAAAACAAGCTGGGTGCCAGTGGCTCTTGTAATCCTAGCTACTCAGGAGGCTGAGATCTGAGGATCATGGTTCAAAGCCAGCTTGGGTAGGAAAGTCTGTGAGACTCTTATCTCCAGTAAACCACCAGAAAACTGGAAGTGGTGCTATGACTCAAGCAGTGGCGTGCTCGTCTTGAGCTGAAGAGTGCAGGGACAGCGGCCAAGCCCAGAGTTCAAGCTGCATGAATGACCGACCAAAAAAATTATATATATATAATTAAAACATAGAATAAGTCGTTTTAATTATCTATATGGTAGGGAAAAGTGTTTCACAACTAGAGCAATGATCAGTATCAATGATTGTCAGTTAGCAGTGGTTCTTGTTGTCAAGAAAATATTTGGTAGTGTCAGGAGGCTTTTGGTTTTCATAACTGGTAAGATTCACACACTAGCATAGTGAATAGAGAGTCAAGGCACTGTTAAATGTCCTGCAGTGCATAAGAACCAAATGTCAGTAGTGATGAAGCAGAAAACCTATGAAACTAGAGTGGGCAAACTTGTTTTCTCTTTGATTCTTCAGGAGAAAATTAAGTTGCAAGTCTCCCAGTGTCTTCCAGAAATGAAAGGTTTGCTGGTCTGGTCTAATGGCTCCACTGGTAGAGCACCTGCTCAGCAATCACAAGGCCCTAAGTTCAAACCTTAGCACCACAAAAGAAAGAAAGAAAAAAGAAATTGTGGACTTGCTTATTGAATACCAACTATTTCCACCAATATTATTTTTCTTAAAAGTCACAAATTATGGTAAAATTGTACTTTGTAGTTACTGAGATTCTCAGCTCTATAATTTATAGGAAATCTTTAAAAGAAATAAAGATCAAAATATTTATGGGTAATTTACTAACATTTTTTATATTGGGCATATCTGATGAGTTAATTACTTTTTTTCCAGGCTGAAGAAGAAAAGAAGAAAATCATCATCTTCTTCAAGTGTTTCTTCTGGTGATGAGACAGTTTCTTCTTCCTCATCGTCCTCCTCTTCTGGTCACAAAAGGCATAAGAAACATAAGAGGACCCGTTCAGAATCTTCTCGAAGTTCCAAAAGGCATTCAACGAGGACATCCTCAAGTCACATAGAACAGAATAGGAAAGACGAGTGCTACCCAGTTCCAGCAAATACTTCAGCATCTTTTCTTAACCAGAAAAAAGAAGTGGAAAAACTGCTGGAAAAGCAAGAGAGGTTACAGTACCAAAAGGTACAGGTGAAAGAGAAGGATAGATGCCCTCTCTCTTCATCTTCAGTTGAAATAACAGATGATTTTGGAGGTAGGTCTGAAGATCCAAGAGATGTTTACAACAGCTATAAAACCCAGGCAGGATGTAGCAAAACAGAAAAGCCATATAAATCAGAAAGACATTTTTCCAGTAGAAGAAATTCCTCAGATTCCTTCTGTAGAAATTCAGAGGACAAAATAAGAATGTATGGCTCCAGGAAATGTGAAAAGGACACAGAGGGAAGAAAAGAACACTACAGAAGGTGGGAACCAGGCTCCATGCGGCATTCTACATCACCAGCAAGTTCAGACTATTCTTGGAAGTCATTTGAAAGACATAAAAAATACACTTTTTCTGGATCCCGTGATTTCAGTAGACACGAGCAAAGATACCGATTAAATGCAAATCAAGAAGAATATGAAAGAGAGGACAATTCTGGGGAGGAAAATAAAACAGAGGTTCCAGAAAAAGATGGACTAAATAACACAGAGCAATCAGAAAGCAGAGTTAAAAAAAATTTACCTCAAAATTTACTCAATATATTTAACCAAATAGCTGAATTTGAGAAAGAAAAGGGAAATAAGCCAAAAAATTAAGAAAATTTGTACCATTACACTAACAATAAAGTTGGAGTGTTTTAGTTCTAACAGTATGATTTAGAAATATAGAGGTTTTCTCAGATTTTGTTTTAGGTCACCTTGTCACAGCTTGAGTTTCCATTTTCAGCCTTTCATGGGAATGTTTATGTACAGTATTTTTCCTACTCAGTATAAACAACTTTACCTAAGGATAAATATCTAAAAGCATTGTTTCTTCATTGTTACACTGTATGAGAATCCCTTATCTTAAGAGAAAATTAAATTTGTTCATTGAATATCTGTGTTGTTTTCATCAAAACTTTTTACTCCATTTTTTTGTCAAAAGCCCCAAACATAAATATATACATATGTGTGTGTGTATAAATATATATATATAGAGAGAGAGTACTACTATATTTCATACCCATTTTTTCAACTTTTTGGACAACTTTATTTTAAATTGTTACACTTAATTTGTCTCTGAAGCCTACTTTAAAGTAACTGGTGAACAGCTACTGGCTTATGTCCAGCTTAAATATCTTAGGAATAAGACCATGAAAATTTATTTGGGAGCAGAGCCTTTTTTTCTCTATTTTTACTTTTAGCTAGCATGGGTGTAAGATTTTTTTTAACTATATTGATAGACCTTTAGAGACTATGTCCTAGTTAAGAGTAGGTAAGAGTAGAAAATAATCCTTACAGCAAAAAATGACAGTGGCAAAAAATTACCTTTAAGTGTAGATTTCTTCTGGGGTAAGAAATTACTAGTGCAAGTGTTCAATGAGAAATCTCTAGGAATATTCTAGAATAATCTAGGCTGGCTTGTCACCCTTACTGTCACCCTTTTCAGTTCTAAATAAATGACTGTACTGAGTACAGCCTTATTTTACTCAGAATAAATGCAGCAGCTAGAGCTTTTACAGAAGGGACTTCGATTTTTAAAGATTCTCCTAAGATTACCGAAAATGGTAGAGTATACTCAGTGATACCAATAGGAATCAGGAACTATTGGACTTAAGATGTTTTGAGAATCTTAGTTGAAGATTCTAGAAGGCGTAAATGACAGTGGACTTTAAAAAATCTAAACACTCAAGATGTAGGTCAAGGGATAGATGAATATCCATCTACAAAAGCTGAGAATTACAACAAAGGGAACCTCATTACTTGATGTGTCTTGAAGCTCTTGCCAACAGTAATATAGCAGAACTTTTAATACTGTTGTGTATTGTTTTCATCCTTCAAAAATTGTAATGATTGACTAAGAAAATGTGAAGCTCATGTTGCAGTGGAACAAGGAAAAAAGCCTTAAGAACATAGCACAGATGTGTGGCTCAAGTGGTACTGAATCTGCCTAGCAAGTGTGAAACCCTGAGTTCAAGCTCCAATATTGCCACAGTAGGAACCATAAGTAATGGCAGTAGTAGACACCAAGTCTCGTCTAAGAGTCAGTTCTACCTATTAACTTCCTCACTATATAGTTTTATAATTGAGGTTCTTAAGGAGTAAAAACTACCTCTTGCATATAGCACTTAACCATGGGACTCTCCAGAACAGTTTAATATTGCCCACACTAATTAGGGTATTGCCTTGTCTTGCAGGCTGCCTGAATTTTCAAAATGTTATCTTTCCAAGGACCTCTCCTAGGATATAGTAAGTGTAAGCAGGGTGCATCACGCAATTGTAAGGGTATGCTCAGGAAGCCCATTGCAAAAAGTACTAGGGATTGACATTTCAACAATACCTAGTGATATCTTCAACTCAGTATCAGTGTGTATACATTTTGTATACACCCAGCTGTGAATTTGTTTCTGTAAGTATGGGTTTAACCCCTTCTTAAAAGTTAGTATTATTACACTAAAGTAAAAAATATTTAATATAGGGATTAAAGTTATATGCTAATTGAAGAACCTACTTAATGTTAAGTTGTAAGTAGTGACTTAATAAATAGAAATTAACTATAGTACAATTGCTATGTGTCAAGTCCCCAGCATTTTGTTTATATTACCCAGTTGCTTCAGTAACTCAGAGTACTATGCTACAAATGAGAGGAAAAAAATAAGTTAATGCCCAAGGTCACAGAGCTAGGACTCAAGTCTTGGCTTCATAGAACACAGCTTACTGTTCTCAAATTCCAAGTCATTTGCAAATTAATGCAGATCTGACAACTGGACTTTGAGAAATTTTAGCCACCTAAATAAATAGTTTTAGGCCTGTAAATTTCACAGTGTAATTTTGGGCCCAAAAATTACTCAGCCTTGTTACCCCTCTTTTTTCTGATTGAGCATGCCAGTTTGGGGCTTGAATTCAGGGCACTGTCCCTGAATTTCTCAAAGCTTACACTCTAATACATGAGCCACAGCTCCACTTCTGGCTTTTTTGGCTCTTAATTGGACTTTCTTGCCTGGGCTGGCTTCAAACCAGGATCCTCAGATCTCAGCCTCCTAAGTAGCTAGGATTACAGACATGACCCACCAGCACCCAGCCTTGTTACCCCTCTTAATCCCTGGATTTCACTACTATGCCTTTTCTTGGCAATTTCTGAAACAATGAGAAGCTAATTTTCTGTCATTCTGCTTTTCAAAAGTAATTGTGACTAGTGGTTCTAAGACAATCACAGTCATAAAATTTTTTTTCAAGATCTGAAGGAGATGTTCGTTTACACACATGAATTCTAATACCTTTATTTGAAATCAAAGTTTTATAATATTTCACACTATCCCAAGAACTTGGAAATGCTGGATACCAAATGTTAACTGAAAAAACATTTAAACCTAATAGCTTATCTCCAGTGTAAATTTATGTAACTCTACTTGCAAATGAATAATAAATTCAAATTGCACATCTCGCTTTCTTTTATGTGTTTATTAAGGAAATTTCAAAATAAATTCTTTATGCATAGTTGGCTATATTTGACTTTCAAAATCATTGAAGCTGCACTTTGGTTTACACCCAGCATTACTCCTTACCACTATGAAGCTGTCATTTGGTTACAAATTATACCAAAGGAAAAATTACCTTTGACATGTTTTTTCAAAAAAATCTAGTTTGGGAATCTTCTAGGGTAAATTAGCAGAAATTTGTGCAACAAAGCCAACTACTCACAAACATCAAGACTATAGCGAGAAAACCCCTTTTTCTCTACTTATTTAATATAGCCTGGTTAAGAATCAATTACTATCTTTCAACTTTACATATAGCAGTAGAAAAGCACATTAGCTTCTTTGAGTTTTTACTGGATAAATGGTCATTTTATTTCAAAGACTATCTCATGAGATGATTTATATCATGACATAAAAAATAGAAGGGATTTGCTGTTCAGTGTGAGACTTTTCTTGTCATAAAACTTGAATGAAGATAAAAATACCTACTTGGTCTTTTTGTTTTTATCATTATTAGAACTACTAGTACTAGGTGGCCTGGAATGTCTGTCTGCTTGTGCTGAGTCAGGGAAGCTGAGCTCTACCACTTTAATCGAAGACTGGGAACCAGTAGGACTGAAGCTCCTAGTTGACCTAGGGGAAAAAACGAATGTCATAAATTTAATACAAAGTTTATATTTAATATAGACCCCTTTTATCATTCGCAAGAGATACTACAATTCAATAAGTAGAGCTTAAAATACATGTTAGCAAAGTCTAAAGGTATTAATACCAAAACCTTTTTTAAAAGAACATAGCTTCTATAGATAGATCATAAATATGTTTCTATATGAGAAAAATGTTTTCAACTACCGTTTCTTAAGAGTTGGAACCATTAAGCAAGTATTAATAGCATGTTAATGCTGAAATCTCTCAATGAACTAATAAAATGTAGCTCTTGCTTATAGGAGACTAGAAGTTCTAAACCTAGGATCATCAAGAAATTTGTCCACAAAGCACTAGTGTTGAAAGTGTCCCTAGTGATAGATTCAGGACACTATTAAATTGATTGCAGAGGCAAAAAAAAAGTTAATACTTTTAGCAAAATAAAATTAAATCCTGATTATATACAATTTCACAAATGCAGCTTTAGTAAAAAATCATACTCCACAGATCTGTACATCTAAGTTGTTAAAGTTTTAAAACGATTTTTCTCCAACTTGGTCCACTCCAAATCCTAGCTGTACCCCTCAAATCTCACCTGCTTTATCCTAAAATAGTTGTTAATCATGGCCTGTCGGCCAATTTAGAAGTAATGACATCAGAAGTGTTTCTAGCAGAGCACCAGTGGTTCACATCTGTCATCCTAGCTACTCTGGACACTGAAATCTGAAGATCTCATGCCAGCCCAGACAGGAAAGGCCATGACACTTGGCTCAAGTGCCAATCCTTGAGCAAAAAAGCCAAGGCACAGTGTCCAGGCTGAGTTCAAGTCCAGTACTGGCACCAAAAAAAAAGTGTTCCTACTTATAATTACATGGTGCTGGAATAGAGAGCTGGGCAGAGGAAAGGCTGGCAGTGTGTGGGCTGGGCAGCTGTAGGATTAGTTGGGTTCATTTAGCAGCTGCTACAAGCTACAATGTTTTTACACCCTCCACTTACCTTCCTGATCGCAGGGAAGACTGTGAAGAGGACCTAGAACTATGAAGACTGCGTTTACTAGTTGTAGGGAATTCCAACCCATTCTGAAAGAATAAATAACAGCAATCATTAGTTCTGTATTTTCAAGGCAAGTGCTCTACCACTGAGCCACCTTCCCAGCCCCTGGTTCTGTATTTTCAAAGAAAAACATTCTTTTAGTTAGATTTTATGACAAAAACATCAACAGTTATTTTCATCAAATGTTTAAGAAATAGTAGGGCTGGGGATATAACTGAAAGCCAGAGCACTTGTGCAAAGCCTGTGTGAAGTTCAGTTTCCAGCACCAAAGAAACACAAACACACACATTACGACGGGGTACTGCATGTGTTACCTGCTGAAAGTATGTTTGGAGGACAACTTGGAGATCAGCATTTTTTTCTGCTATCTCAATTAACATTTCATCAATGTCCTTGTGAAACTGTTTTGTTTCACGAAATTTAATATCTTGTTCCTCTAGAGTTTCATCTTGTGTTTGCTTCAAGAGACGGATATCTTTTATGAGTTTCTCACACTGTAGGAAAAAGTAGTCAATTATTAAATAGACCTCTGTTTCTGATTGTTTGCAGATAAGGATATGAGTTTATGATTTGAGATTTCAAAAAGTGTACACATTTACAGGTCAGGTTTTTTTTTAATATATATATCATTACCTGTTTAGTGACTCTCTCTAATTTTGGCTTCTGTTCCTCAGTATCTTTACGTAGTTGGAGCAAATAATCTTGCTTCCCTGACAATTTTTCCTTGGCAGTTTTTGTTAAATGTTCTACAACTTCTGAAGTATTTTCCATGCTCTGTAGAAAAGAAAGTATTAATATACTTACTGGTTAGAACAAAAAAAAATGACAGTGTTAGCTATTTGTCAAGTATTCAGTTAATCTAAATTCTTTGTTTTTAGTTACATGTATTTTATTGGTCAATAATAAGTATAGTGGTCTTGTGGACTTTATTTTTTATATAGTCCCCCAGAAAACTTATTTTGGTACTTGAAAAAAATAAAGAATATGAAACAGGCACTAGTGGCTCAAGCCTGTAATGCTAGCTTCTCAAGAGGCTGAGATCTGAGGACTTCCAGCCAGGGCAGAAAAGTCTGTGAGACTCTTTTATCTCCAATTAACCAGCCAAAAACCAGAAGTGGAACACTGGCTCAAGTGGTAAAAACACCAGCCTTGAGCAAAAACAGGCCAAGTGAGAGAACGAGTTCAAATCCTAGTACCAGTATACACGCACACACACACACGCACACACACACGCACACACACACACACGCGCACACACACACACACACACACAAATGTACTGGACTATTGAAATCAAATAATTTTCAGAAATTCAAAAGTCATATCTCTTCCTTCTGTTTTTTTAAATCATTTAGGTCTTGTTTACAAAGCATGTTTACATCTCTCAGTAATTTGCTTTAGTAACTAATTTCTACTTGAATATTTCTTGTCTTTTAACCCTTTTGTCAGTACGAAGGCTTTTAAGGCCTCACACTTGCCAGCCATGTGCTCTACATCTTGAGCCACACCTTGATCTTGTTTCTTTTCTGCCAAATCCTCAATTAAAAATAACAAGTTTACATAAAAAATGAAAATCTTGGGGCTGGGAAGTTGGTTCAGTGATAGAGTGCTTGCCTTGCATGCATGAGGCCTTGGGTTCGATTCCTCAGCACCACATAAGCAGAAAAAAGCTGGAAGTGGTGCTGTGGCTCAAGTGGTAGGGCACTAGTCTTGAGCTGAAGAGCTGAGGGACAGCGCCCAGACCCAGAGTTCAGGCCCCATGAAGGACAAAAAAAAAAAAAAAAAATCTTTTGTACAGTTAATAGAGATCCTTTTGAAAAGTTAAAAGACAATCAACTGGGGGAAAATCTGCAATATTCAAAGGAGTGGTAGCCATAACATTTAAAGTTCCTTGGTGGGGTGCCTATGGCTCATGCCTGTATTCTAGCTACTCAGGAGGCTGAAATTTAAGGATCCTAGTTTAAAGCCAGCCTGGGCAGGAAAGTATATAAGACTATTATCTCCAATACACCACCTAACCCAGAAGTGAAGTTATGGCTCACTTGGTAGAGCACTTGCCTTGAGCAAAAGAAGCTCAGGGACAGTGCCCAGGTGCTGAGTTCAAACTGCACACCCCAGGACTGGCAAAAAATTAAAAATAATTAAAATTGTTAAAAAAATCTCCACAAAATGAACAATAAAGAGAAAAAAATAAAAGGACACAGAGGGTCACTTCATTCTTGGAAGGTACATTTATGTAGTAAACACAGATGCATTATCTCACTATTATTCAGAGGCATGCAAATGAGGAGTTACCAGTATGTATTCATCAAACTAGCACAACTAGAACAGTCTGCTCCCACCTAGTGTTAATGAAGAGGAGAAAAGGTCACATTTGTGCAAAATGATGGGATGTGAATTGGTACAATGCTCATCAAAATTAAATGTCTGCAAACTGTATGACCCAGCAATTCAATTTAAAAATAACTTTTAAAAAAACTTTTGCTTGAAAAGGTCAGATAATGTGATGTTAGGAAAATGAACCCTTAGATATGTATGTAAATGTTATTTTTTCTTTCATGCATTTGTTTCTAACACATTTATAAGATTATTTCCTTGTTGCTTTGTATGTCCCTCCCCCACAGTATAACCCCTGCTTTCACTATATTTGATGTCGGTATAATTTGTGGAGGAGATGGGGAAAAAAAAGTCGTTTAAAGATACAGGTGGACCCGTTGCAACAATGAGAAGTACAAGTTGTCATGTCGAAAAAGAACTTTACAACTTTGGTGGGGGGGGGGGGATTGGGTGGGGGGGGGGGGGGGGGGAGGCTGGGAAGGGATGTGAAGGGTAAACAAAGGAGGAGGCTGCAATGCTTGATAAGAAATGTACTCATTATCTTGCCCATGTAATTGTAACCCCTCTGTACAGTATGTTCACAAATAAAATAAAATAAATTAAAAAAAAAGAAATGAACTGATTACTTATGTAATTGTAACCACTCTTTACAGTATGTTCACAAAAAAATAAATTAATTAAATTAAAAGATAAAAAGAAAAACAACTTTTTGTGTGTGCTCAAAATGTGACAGCATTTTTTCCCTCTATTTTTGGAAGTATGGGACCTGATACTTGGTAGGCAAGTGCTCTACTACTGAGGTATCCCTCCAGCCCTTTTTTATTTTTACATATAGTGCCTTGTATTTTTACTTGGGGCTGACCTCAGATTGTGCTCTCCAAGTTATGCTTCTTGCATAGCTTGAAACACAGGCCTGCAGTACCGTGCTCAGCTTATTGTGTAAGATGCCATCTCTCTTACTTTTTGTCTGAGTTGACCTGGAACCATGACCTTCCTGATCTCCCAGTTGCTCGCCAACCTCCCCAGTAGACAGAATTACAAGCAGAGCTATTGCACCCAGCTAAACTTTTTAAGGGACCAATCGTAATGTGATCTTAAGGAATTAAACTACGAATCTTAAGGAATGTATTAAATAGTAGATAGGCCATTATAAGGCAGTTGTGAGTCATCAACTAATAACACATAACTGTTGATACTGAGCATTATTAAAGAATTTTAATTGATTTACTCACTGTTTCATTCACTTTGGTAAGGGATATGAGATGCATATCTCTTACTATTTTCCTGAAAAGGCTCCAAAAAGACTGCTTTCTTTGTGCAAGAGTAAAAAATAAGTAGTAAGAATAACAAATAAAAGAATACAGAGGGGCTAAAAGGCAATGATATAGATTGTTGACTTTTATTGGCAGTTTATTATTAAGAAGCTTACGGAATTTACCTGGATGTCTTCTTCAATTTCTCTGATTTGTCTTTGTTTGTATCGATATTTTTCATCAGCAATTCTTTTTTGTTCTTCTAGTTTAATTTTTAGCCCATATTCATCACCTTCAATTCAGAGAATTTTAGTTTGATTTTGATATGCTATATATATAAAATATAAGGTATTACATATATTACATTTCCTAACTTTTTGTTATTAAAGGTTAAATTCATTATATCTACTTAAAAAACAGTATGAGCATGTAGTAACTTTTTTTGTTGTTTTTGCTTTTTGTTTTTGTCAATGGTTAGGCTTGAACTCTGGGCCTGGGTACTGTCCCTGAGCTCTTTTGCTCAAGACTACCACTCTACCACTTGAGACACAGCTCCACTTCTGGCTTTTTTGATGGTTAATTAGAGATAAGAATCTCACAGACTTTCCTGCCTGGAAAGGCTGGCTTTAAACCATGATCCTCAGATCTCAGCCTCCTGAGTAGCTAGGATTACAGGCATAAGCCACTAGCACCTAGCAAATCATACTGTGTTCACTCTGTGCTTTTTTTTTTTTTTTGCCAGTCCTAGGTCTTGAACTCATAGCCTGGACACTGTCCCTGAACTTCTCTTGCTCAAGGCTAGCACTCTACCACTTCAGCCACAGCACCACTTCCAGCTTCTTCTGTTTATGTGGTATTGAGGAATCAAACCCAGGGCTTCATTCATGCTAGGCAAGCACACTGCTACCATATTTCCAGCCCTGTAGTAACTTTTTAGTCAACACAAAGTAGCAATATGCTACAAATTTTTTTCAGATTGAAGTTAATTCCATAGAGAATGATGTCATATACCACAGATCTAATAAGGGAAATAATACATTAGCAGAATAATTACAAAAAGGGGAAGGAAAGGAAAGATGTTTGATTTTTCTGACACAATCAAACATGGCACATTCTTTATAATTCAGTGTTTTTCTTTTTTTGGGGGGGGGGTCCGGTCGTGGGGCCTGAACTCTTAGCCTGGGTGCTGTCCTTCAGCTCTTCAGCTCAAGGCTAGCACTCTACCACTTGAGCCACAGCGCCACTTCTGGCTTTTTTCTTCTGCTTATGTGGTGCTGAGGAATCGAACCCAGGGCCTTAAGCATCCAAGGCGAGCGCTCTACCACTGAGCCACTTCCCAGCCCCAATTCAGTGGGTTTTTTCTTAACTAAATAAACTTCACTGCATATATTTCTTTGACTCCTACATACTAGTTGGTGTCACTTTTTTAAAAGACTGTTTGTAATGATCATTGCAGTTGGTCAGAACTTGCAGAGTGTTTTCGAGGGCATAAATTTCCTTTTCTGCTTTGTTGATCTGAGCATCCAAACTGTCACCTTCCCTTTGAAGTTCTTCTTTTTCTTGAGCAGCCTGAACAGAAGAGAAGGGAATCACTTAAGGTACTAACTCACAGGGAGTCAACCCACAACTAAAGTCTGGCTGTTTCCGGTCTCTTTTTCTCCCACCACACTATTTCAAGTGAAATGGCCGTTTAACTAGGCCATAGAACCTAGCTGGAGGAAGCAAATCCCCAGGTATTAGCCTTGAAAGGTTATTCTTGTTGACAGTGCTGTCAGTCTGTCTGTCTGTCTGCTGCCTAGCTGCTGTGCAGGATGCAACTAGTTCTTGCCCATGCTCCTGGACAGGTTGTTTTGCATTACCACAACCCAGAAGCCCTGGCTGAGTGACTCAAGACTGAAACCTGAAACTGAGAAACATGAACTTTTCCACCTAGAGTGTTGATGTGGGGATATTTTGTCATAGAAATGGAAGTTTGGCTCAAAGGCAACATTTGTTAAGGAAATGTGTCTAATTCACTTCCTGAAGAATAATGATACTAATGTTATTGTAAAATGTTAGAAACTGAAGTGTTTCTAACAAACCTATTTCTCACAGAGCACATTCTAGTGTAAAACAAGTGTCCAGTGGTTGAATAAAACTGCTTTTAACTGAAATTGATTTTATGGAAGCTTATAGTATGTTCATGCTATATCTGCTGACCTGGAACCTGAGAAGTTCTTAGAATCATTTGAGAACTCTGGAGAGCCTGCCTACTGAGTTATCTTGGTTAAAAGAGAGAGAAGAAATTTTTCTTCTCAGCATTTATAGCATTTGATGTTTTCTAGCCCCATCTATTTGCAATCCATTTTAAAGACTGTGGGAGGTAAAACAACCTAGAAAATGAGTGTTTTGGATAAACCTTGGTTGCCTTTTACTTCTCTCCAAGATCTGAAATGAGAATGTTCCTGAACCTCTTGCTTTAATACCCGATTTCAACTCCACATGCTATTAACGCCACTTCCCTTCTCAATCAATTTGATAGCTGCCTAGCTTTATTATTATTAATAATTAATTAAGATAAGTTCTTGCAAAATGGCTTTCCCAAGCTGGCCTCAAACTGATATTCTCCTTGATCTAAGTCTCCTAATTTGGTAGGATTACAAGTATGAGCCACTGCACTTGCCTTGGAAATGTTTTAGGATTTTTGAGCATTTAAAAGCATTTTCAAATGATTGCCTAATTAATATGACCTAATAAAAATAAACTGAAGACATTAAAATATGCCCAAGTATAGACCTAAAAATATGTTGAAGAATGGTCATCCAGGCAATACTGGTTCATGCCTATAATCCTAGCTACTCAGGAGGCTGAGATCTGAGGATCTTGGTTTGAGGCCAGTCAGGCAGGCATACAAGTCCTCACCTAGTTGAACTAGGGGCATGGCTCAAGAAGTAAAGCACCAGTCATGAACAAGAAAACCAAGCAACAGCATGGAGCCCTGGGTTCAAGCCTTGATAACCGGAAAGTAAAACCTAGTTAATTGGAATGACCTTAAAGAAGAAGGGCTTTAGGGAAAGTAAGCAAATTTTGAAAGCCAGAAAGGAGTGCCTTCTCCAGCTCATGGAGATCTTTTTCAATGTCTGAATTTTTTTTTGGGGGGGGGCGGGTAGGGAGGTGGGAGTACTAAAGTTTAAGCTCAGAGCTTTGAGTTACTTACATAGGCACTCTACTGCCACTTGAGCCATGCCTCCAGCCCTTTTTTGTCAGTCATGGATCTTGAACTCTGGGCCTGGATGCTGTTCCTGAGCTCTTCAACTCAACGCTAACACTCTACCACTTGAGCCACAGTGCTACTTCCGGTTTTCTGGTTGGAGGTAAGAGTCTCACGGACTTCCCTGCCAAGGCTGGCTTTGAGCCACGATCCACAGATCTCAGGTTCCTGAATAGCTAGGATTGAATGTGTGAGCCACCAGCACCTGGTTTCCAGCCCTTTTTTACTCTGGTTATTTCTGAGATTATGGTTCCACTTTTAGCTAACAGTCTGACCATGAGCATCCTATGTATGCTTACTACCACAACTGAGAAACAGTAGGTACATGCCATCACACTCAGCTTTTCTTTTAAAGTGGGGGCTCATGAACTTTTTGCCCAGGCAAGCTGGCCAATCAGGCCAATTGTCCTGATCTCAACTTCCCAGGTAGCTTGAATTACAGACATGAGCTTCCACCATAGGGCCTTTTTCATCTTTTTGCTAGCATAGTTGTACAGCATGGGATGATTCACTTTGGTAGATCCATGTATACAATATATTTCGATCATATTCACCTCCTACTACTCTTTCTCATCCCTCTTACATGCAATTATTATCTTACTTGCGATTTCAAAAAGGGTTTCATTATGACTTTGCATGCAAAATAAGTTGATCATATTCTCCTTCCTCTTTACCCTCCCACAGTTCCCTGAAATAGTCCCCCATTTAGGTCCACTTCCTTTACTTTAGATGTAGCTTCTGCACATGTGAGAAAATAGGCAATATTTGAGTATGCCTTATTCACTTAACCATCATATTATCTCCATCTCCATTCATTTTTCTGCCAAATGACATAATTTGTTCTCGATGTCATGGCTAAGAATGCTACGCATGTCTTCATTGGCCATTCATACTTGTTTTGTGAACTGTCCAACTCACTTGCCTCAAGGATTGGGAGTTCATAAAACTAACAGTGCTTCAGGCAATGAATTCTAAGAAATGGAAACAAGAGGTCTTTTTCTTTGTTGCTATTTTTGTTTTCCTTTATTTTTGTCTTGTTTGTTCATTTATATGCCTTTGGGCCAGTAAAGGGAGGCACAGAAATGGTAGGACAGAGGGTGAACAAATGCAGCAGTGATGCTCACTAGACACAACGTTAAAAATGAACTATACAACTTGTGGGTGGGTGTGGAGCACATAGGCAGCAAAGATGGCGCTGGGAGGGGGTTGAGTGGGCAGAGCCTAATTTACTGTAGAGCACATGGGCAGCCAAGATGGCTCTAGGAGAGAGTAGAGTGGGCAGAGCCCAATTGATCTTCTGATCAATGCCTAACCAGCCCGTGAAGGCTCAGGTGAATGATAGGGTGTGACCTTGACAGTGATTGGTTCCTCTTCCTCCCTTACCATACCACCCACCCTTTGTGTCTTTAAAAAGGGGCTGCTCTCTGTTAATAAACGAGTTTTCTACCTGCTGGATTTGGCTCCCTGCTGTGTCTGATTGTCTCCTGGGCTGAGGGAGGCTAGGGAATGGGCGAGCGCTGCACTTACCTTTCCTCGGACCCCGTCCGTCTTTTGTGGGACAGACGAAGACCCAACAGGTGGGGACAGGAGAGGAAAACTGGGAGAGAGGGAAGGATTCAAAAAGAAATGTACTCTTTACCTGGCTTATGTAACTGTAACCCCTCTGTACATCACCTTTATAATAAAAATAACAAATTTTAAAAAATAATACTGTTTCAGTACAACTGTTTTAGTCCCTTGTCAAGTGCAATAGGTAATGGCTTTAAGCAAATTAAATAAGTTGCTTTGTTTTAGGAGGAAGATGTCAGGTTCATTTTTAAAATCCAGAGAATCTAGGCACTGGTGGTTCACACTTGTAATCCTAGTTACTCAGGAGGCTGAGATCCAAGGATCCCAGTTCAAAGGCAACCTAGTCAGAAAAGTCCATGAGATGCTTATCTCCAAAAACAACCAAAAAAGCCTGAAGTGGAGTAGAGCTGTAGATCAAAACTAGAGTGCTGGCTTGGAGCAAAAGAAGCTCTGGGACAGTACCAGACCCTGAGTTCAATCCCCAAGAACCA